ACTTGACTGCTAACCAGAAGGCTGGTGGTTCAAACCCACCAGCCACTCCTCAGAAGGAAGGTTGGGCAATCTACTTCCATAGTGATACCACCTTGGAAACTCAAGGAGGAGTCACTATGAGTTGGGTCTGGCTTGACGAAACAAGGAGGGGTCACTATGAGTTAGGTCCAGCTTGACGGCACATAAAAACAACAACAACAGAGAGGTACGGGAAGCAGTTAAATATGGCAGTGGTGATGGTATATCCAGAGAGGAATTCTGGCTGCAGATTGGAAAGGGAAGGGAATAGTACTTATGATGAAGGGATTGAAGAGGGAAATGAATGGATAGAACACAGGAATCCACCCAAGTAAACAAACCTAAAGCACCAATACGAAACGAAAAACCTTCACTAGGATCATAGAAAACACAGTATCTAAGAAAAGTTGGCTAGTAAAAAAGAGCTAGAGGAAGAGAAGTAAAACCTGAACATCATGATTCAGAAAGTCGTTTATAATGGCCACCATCCTCTCCACTAAAGTATTAAAGGATTGATACAGGGACAGCATAGAAGTTCCCCAAATCTATTTATGACCCAGTCTAGCGCTGTCACACTGGCTTCAGAGAAAAAAACTAAGCATCTGATCCCCAAGAAAGGTTCATAATGTATTTAACATATTTATAAGCATCAAATGCAGAGCTCAGTGAAAAAGTAATTGCTGTAAACAAGGAAGTAGAGACTAGAATCTTTTAAAATGACTCTTCTAGCAGGAAAGCTATGCTCAGGGCCAACAAAGACATTCCAAAGACAATCAAAAAATGATGATGGACTTTACTTGAACACTTGTTGTATCTTAGAAGTTTTGTTCTGCCACAAAAGAATATAACTGGCCAAGAGATCTTTAAGACTTACACAGCGCTCCCCCAAAATGACTAGAAGTAGGACTTAAACAGAAACTACTAAAAAGGCACCTACAGCACAAAATCACAGCATTATCTGGTCTTCTTTTAATGCTGCTGAATCCCGGGCTTTTTATAATCTTGCTATTTTGAAACGCTTTTCTATTACTTCACACTTCAGAATCTCAAGAAAGCGCTTTCCTGAACTGTCCTTTTCTCACAGATGAATTAGTGCTGATACTCAAAAAGTTAGCCACCTTAACTTACAGATCAGCTCAACTAAGGTACCTTCATCCTATCTATTAACACTCCACCTCACTCACTGCCTCCAGCCACACTGGCTTCCTTTCTATTCTTGAGTTAGCTATTAACGGAAGACTGTGATCTTCCCCAAGAAAAAGGCTGTAACTAACTGCGCATTCATAAGCACATAGAAAAAACATAGGAAGGAAGGTTGGGCAATCCTACTTCCGTAGTGATACTGCCTCGGAAACCCAAGGAGGGGTCGCTATGAGTCAGGGCTGACTCGACGGCACATAACAACAACAACAACAACATAAATATACTTGGGTTAAAAGTACAATAATCTGTTAAGCGTTCATTCTATGTCACAGGCGCAATTATTATAACAAACTATTAACCAAGAACATTCTAATTTGACATGTCAAAAAAAAAAAAAAAACCAAACTCACTGCCATTGAGTCAATTCAGACTCACAGCGATCCCTTTTGGGTTTCTGGGGCAGTAAGTCTTTACAGAAGTTGATTGCTCCGTCTCCTCCACGGAGTGGCTGGTGAGTTTGAACTGCTTAACCTGGTTAGCAGTCAAATGCCTTAGGCACTATGCCACCAGAGCTCCTTAATTTGACATATACAACCGTTTAATTTATCACAACATAACGGGCACGATAACTGCAGCCACATTCTGGTGCTGAAGGTCAGACCAGGCATATGACTCCCCTTACACAACATGCCTTAACAATTCAGCACAACTCCTGACTATTCCCCCCCCAAAAAAAAAAAAAATCACTGGAAAGGCTGGAATATGAAAAAATTGAACCATAAAAAAAAAAAAAAATCTTGTAAGCAGTAAATATAAAACTTTATTCACAGAAAAAAAATAGGTATTTCAGGGAAAGAATCTTCAATTACCAAGATCACTACTTCTGCCAAAGTTTAGGAGAGAACCTAGTAAAAGTCATTTAAAATCACTGAAACTCTTGATCTCCAAGGACTCTCGAAAAAGAGTATTCGAAGTAACTAAGTTACTCACATTCTCAATGAACTGGGTATTTGAGAGCATAAGGAAGTCATTGAAGACATTATGCAGGCGGCAATCTGTAGCCTTAGTTTCCCGAATCAGTCCATCCATTTGTTTCTTGATTTCATGGGTCCTAGAGATAGTCTGCTGTGAAAATTCCTGTAGAAACTGTAGCAACTATTTTAAAAATAAATACACAACATCAATATTTATCCATCAATCCTGCATATCAAAACAAATACCATTCCCTTTGACCTTTGTGTTGGGGGGAGGGATAAAATGTAAAAGGATTGTTGCTTTTTGACAGTTACTGAGACCAATTGCTATTGAAAAACATTAAGAAAAGTGCATCAAAACAGTGACAAAGCATCAGTCAAGACATGCTATATTGTTTCTGGAGAAATTTTGAAGTAGTGTTTGGCTGTCACTTATTTACAAGTATCACAAAGAAACAGTAAAATAATAAACCACCGCTCTTACCAAAGAATTCTATTCATATTAACATTTTGGAATCAACAATTCTGAGTTCTGAGCATCCTGGGACCCTTCCTTCAAGAATCTCATTCAAGGATTCACATAATGGTTTGTCTCCCGCCCCACTCATTCCAGGTCCCAACGTGAAATCGTCTCACTAGCTGCAGACCTGCGAAAGCGAAATCTGCGCCCCTCACGAAAGAACTGAAAACATCACTTAGGAAAAAAGCCCAAACAAGGCAAACAACCAGCGTCTGGGCAGCAGTCCAGCCTGAGCTCTCAGCCGACTAAGGCCGACCTGCTGGCCCTTCTCCCTTCCCTGAGCGCTGTCACAGTGGGATTTTCGAGAATGAGGAGGGATTTGTGCTACTGAGAAGAAACAAACAGAATATCTGAAGCGGAGCCCCTGTAGCCCCAGTCTCGAAAGAAGGCAGCAAAACGGCCTCGGTCGACGCGGCATCAGAGGGCACCCAGTTCCTTCCTCATTGTGGCCCCTAGTCTCCCGGCGCCCCAAGCGGCCCGCCCTCCCCTCCTGGCCCTGCGGCCCATCGCTCACGCCTGCGTCGGCCGCCAGGGACCAGTTTTGGCTGCTCCTGCGGATCTCCTCCACCGACCAGGGCCGCTCCCACACTGGTTCGGACGCCAGCGCCCGTTCCGGGTCGAGGGTCGTCCCGTTCATCTGCAGCGGGAAGGACAAGAAGAGGGGCTGAGCTGGGCGGTGGGAGGTGGGGACGGCAGCCGCAGCCCAGCCCAACTTCGACGCAGCCCCAGCAGCCACCCTCACCATCCCGGCCGCAGGGCTTGCAGGGTTCAGCCGTCGAGGGTTGCAAAGCTCCGGAAACTAAGCGCGCAGCCGCGCGGCTCCGGCTTGTTACGGGACCTCACGTGACCAGGCCTCACGTGACCTAGCCCGCACGTGACCGGCGGTACGGCGCCGCCGCCGCATCTACCTGGGCTCTGGGAGGAATTCCCTGACTGGGAATGGGAAAGGAGTTGTCCTAAGGCGGGAGGGACTGGTACCTGATACCGGTGGTCGCTAAGGAGGTGACAGTCAGCTCGGCGGCTCTTCAGCCACAGGTGTCGGTTGTTAATCAGGGTCTGCGGGGTGAGGGGCTAGTGTAGGGAGCTGCGGCCAAAGGCGCCTGTGGAACAACCAGTCCGGAGCTTTAAACTACGGGTGTTGAGAGCGGAAGAAAACGTGTGCATTTTTTTACTGACTGCGTGTGCACTGCCTGTCGCAGAACTGGAGCACAGTCCCATAATATATGGAGAGTGAGTCAACTGGGGGAATCATAATGCGCTTGTTGACCTCTGTTTCAGCTCATGAGTAGTGCCTGCTTAAAATCTTTTATCACCTCGGCATGATTCTCGAAGTCCAGAGTCCAAATTGGATCCCTGCTTACCCATCCTCAATTTTCCCCGCTCCTTACCTCCCACTGGAGCTCGGTGAACCCACTGTTCTCTTAACTTCTGAACCTTCTGCTTTCTCTTGTGCCAGACAAGCTTCATTTTTTAAATCAAAATCCCCATTTCTTTTCATTTATTTGTGCCTGAGGGCAAGTTATTTAACCTCTGTGAATTCTTGTCCTCAGCAACGTGGAGATCCATATCTTGTAGGGATGTAGGATTAAATGTACTGTCTGTAAAACAGCCAGGACTATGCCTAGCGCACGATGAGCATTACATAGATCTTGCCATTACCCCATCCCTGTTTGTCCAATTCTTGGGCATTCTTAGTGAGGAAGAACACACCCAGTCTCAAAAAAACGAAACTTGAGAGAAAATTCCTGTACTGGTACTCCCCCTCCTTCCTTCTGTTTCTTCCCTTTGTGCGCTTTTTTCTGCTTCTGCGAACCTGCTAGCTTGCATCTTGTAAAGGTAACCAGTCTCTCACATCTCATAAATCCTGGAAACAGAAACCTATAAAAACCTCACACAGCCTTTGGCAGCCTTTGTTCGGGGCTCAGTCTGTGGATGTGAATCCACTGAGTCTATGCTAGCACAAATAAAGTCCTTTCTTTTTTTTCATCCTGCTTGGCCTTAGTATTTCTCTTGGCAGCTCCCGTAACATTTCCTGGTGAAATGGCCAAGAAACCTTGGTTTCATCCTCCCCTCCTCCCCTCCTGCCTGAGGGACTAGTAACATGACTATTGCCTACTGGAGGCAGCCAGCGGCCTGGGTGGGTCCTTGATCTGAGGAAGATGACCTGCTGAGTGGGCCAGGGTGATAATTTGACACGGTGCTGGTCGCTTGCATCCGGACAAGAGCTGGTCCTGCCTCTGGCTCCGGGGACTTAGCAGGAGGAGAAATGACCACCCTCCAGATGTCTGAAACACAGTAGGTTGCGGGGCCCCACAGGTAGCCAGGCCTGCCAGAAGGCAGAAGGGGAGTCTGGTCAGTTCCCAGGGCACTGTCCTAGTATTGCCCAGATATGAGTGGTGAGAAACCACAGTAGCCCACAGGCAGTACAAGATTTTGGGGTTGGTGTATGCACTGATACATGTTGAGTGAGCATGTCTGGCTAACTGGAATCCTAAGGAATCAGGAAGCTAGGAGCAAGTGCAAAGCCACTCTCCTAATCAGTGGAGATCCTCATACAGTTCAGGGCGACAGGTTGGCCGATAGCTCAGCAGGACTTCCAGGTCAGGGGCTCATAGTGACTCACCAAAGCTAAGAGGTACCTGAAAATCGTCACGAGAGGAATGAGAAGAGTTTGGCAAAGTGGCTGGTGACTGTGTTGCGTTGAAATGGAAGGGGCTCATAGTCAAGAAGGAACCCCACTCCAGATCATGTTAAGGAACTTTAAGAAGGGATTTGGTACATAAGATTATGGAGTAAAGATGCAGGCAGGAAGACTCAAAACCCTGTGTGAGTTAGAATGGCTGACTTTCCAGGTCAAGTGGCCATCAGAGGGAACACTGGATAAAAAAACTGATGAGAGTCTGGCTGGTAGTGACTGGGGACACTGGCCACCTGGATCAGTTCCCCTACATGACACCTGGCTTCAGTTGGTCACAAGTCCACCCCCATGACTTCGAGGGCCAGTTAGCTGGGTAACAGTTTCTTGGAGCCACTGCCAAAAGGGGGAGAAGAAAGCTAAAGCTCTGCCTTCTACTTTGCCTGAGCTCTCGAGCCCCCTCCCCCCATTCTCTAAGAGGTGCCGGAGGAGCTGGCACTCCCTCCTTATGCCCCAATGTACCCATCTTTGAAGATCCTCTGACCACAGACACCACCCCAACTCCTGCCTGACTCCACTGCTGACCCAGACTTCAAAACTCCAGTAGGGACTAGCCCAGGGCCATCCCACCTCAGTCTGTATACCTGATGTCTTCCTCAACCCCTGCTGCCAGTCAGGGTCTGCAACCCCATCCGTGATTGGACCACCCTACTTGCTTCATTCAGCCATACAGATGCCACTCCAGGAGACAAGGGCACCCACCTATGTGGACTCAGATGGTCAGGTTCAAGGGGGACAGTGCATCCTGGTTTATCAACCATTCAGTATCACCAATCTCCTCAATTGGAAGCATACCCCACTGTATACCAAGAAACCCCAAGCTTTGACAGATCTCATGCAATCTGTCTTCCAAACCCATAACCTCACGTGGGTAGACTGCCACCAACTTCTCACGCTGTTCAGTACTGAGGAATGGAGACGGGTACTACAAGCTGCTGCCCAGTGGGCGGAGGAGAATGCACCAGCCAGAGTTATGAATGCACAGTATATGCCCAGAGATGCCTGCCACATGAGGATCCACATCAGGACCCGAATGAGAGGGAAGGCCTTCAGAACATGGAAACTTACCAGGAAATGCTCCTGCCAGGGCTCCGAAGAAGAGACCAGAAAGCAATCAGAATCAATAAAGTAACTGAAGTTTTGCAGAACCCAGGGGAAAGCCCCAGTGCTTTCCATGAAAGATTATGTGAAGCATACAGACTTTACACCCCATTTGACCCAGAGAGCCAAGAAAACCAACAGATGGTTAACACTGCTTTCATGAATCAGCACAGGAGACATCCGCTGAAAACTCCAAAAGCTGGAAGGTTTTGCAAGCATGAACTCCTTCCAACTCTTGAAAGTAGCAAATAAAGTTTTTATAAACTGAGACCAGGAGGCAAAGCCCAAGGTGGACCGCAAAATGAAGAAAAAGGCGGACCTCATTGCAACTGCCCTAACTCAAACCAGACCAGGCCCTCCCAATAACCAAGGAGGAAGAACTGAGAAAACTGTATGCAGAACTGCTGGGAACAGGAAGCCTCTCCTGGATCATGACCAGTGTAGATACTGCAAAGAGAAAGGCCATTGGAAAAATGAGTGTCCGCAAAAACCGAACAATAAAGAGGAAAAACCCAGACTACTGAAGGAAACTGGCCTATTTAGTGCAACAGAACTGAAACAGACTGGGTCTGGTTGCCTCCCCCAACCCCATGGTCCAAGTTGAAGTGGGGGAAAAATTATGGACTCCCTGGTGGACATAGGGCCTGACCACTCAGTGGTAACACAGCCCATAACCCTGAGAACAAGGAAACAAGTTAACATTATTGAGGCCACTGGAACAGTAACCAGCCAAGACTTTTGCCAGCCCAGAAAGTGCATCACAGGGGGACACAAGGTAGTACATCAATTCCTGTACTCACCAGATTGCCCTGTTCCCCTTCTGGGACGAGACCTTAGCAACTTGTGGGCACAGATTTCGTATGCTGAGGGAGGACAATTGAAACCTGAGATACTGCCCCAATCACTTGTATTAACTCTCTCCGGTCCATGAGAGGACGAGTGGAGAATGTTTCAAGACCAAACTACACAAATGAGGAGTCTCCTCTCTTTGCAAAGTGACCTGAGGTGTGGGCTGAGGACAATTCCCCCAGATTAGCAACCAGACAACCTCCAGTACACATAGAGCTCTTACTGGGAACCAGGCTGGTTCAGATGAAACAGTACCTGATCCCCAGATCTGCTTTGGAAGGCATACAAAAGCATCTGCACCGACTGTTAAAACATGGGATTCTAACACCCTGTCAGTCTCCCTGGAGCACTCCTCCCAGTTCAGAAACCTGGAACACAGGACTACCGACCAGTATAGGATCTGAGGGCTGTAAACCAAGTCACAGTCACAATTCACCTGTCAGTGCCCAACCCCTGCTCACTTTTGAGTCTTCTACCAGCATCTGCAGCTTGGTACAGCTGTTTGGATTTGGAGGATGCTTTCTTCTGCATTCACCTGGCAAAACCTAGCCAACCCATATTTGCCTTTCAATGGGAGGACCCCACTACTGGGAATAAGGCCCAGTGCCCTTAGATACATCTTCCCCAAAGGTTCAAGAACTCTCCCACCCTTTTCAGTGAAGCATTAGCGAGGGACTTACAGACTTTTCCTGCACAAGAGAATGGGTGTACTCTTCTACAATACGTTGATGACTTCCTTCTGGCCCGTGAGACTAGGGAAGGATGCTGCCGAGGAACTAGCCTCCTGTTGGGACATCTGAACAAATGTGGATACAAGGTGTCCAAGACGAAGCCCAGTTGTGTCAATCTCAAGTGAAATACCTCGGGTTTCACATAAAACAAGGACAAAGAAGCCTGGAGGCAGAACGGAAAAGAGTAATACAGGCCATTCCTATACCAACAAACCAGAAGCAAGTCCAGGAATTCCTGGGAGTGGTGGGATTCTGCCGATT